AAAACAAGCGAGCCTGTCAAATGTGATATGGAGACAAACAATGTGGTTGGGCTGAGTAGGGGAATAGGTTGCTGAAATGAGCTCACCACAGGCATGTTTTGCCACTGACAAAGGCATACTTTGTGACTTGAAATTTGTGCTACTCATATAGCCAGTCCTCAACAGAATTAAACAAAATATGGACGAAGAGTGAAATGTTACTGGACTGAATACACATGGGAGCCTGCATCCAAGGCCCATATTTATCTAGCGTCTCAGAATCAGTCCTAGAGATAACGCTAAAAGTTAGCGGCTGTGCTGGGCAATATACCGAATGTACCGCATACTGCTTAGCTGAAACAATTGCTGTAACTCTTCACTAGGCAGCCATATTCTTTTTGCAGTAAATAGAGCTATGGTTGGGGCAAGCTGTGTAGCATGTATTGAGAGGGGAGCTCTATTAACCCCGTACCCTTACCCTTACCCTTACCACAGTAACTCTCTTTAACAGCACTGTTAACAACCATACAACTACTACTACTGATAATGTAATTTTTGCAATACAAGATGGGTAATTATTTGAATATTACAGACAGATGTTGTAAATAGGAAAAAACAGCAGTTTGACTGCATCTTATGCACATGAAGCTATATCGTTACCTTCAAGCTACGAGCTTGTAGTTCTTCCTTGACACCAATGACATCACTATACATGTCAAATGACAGCACTGGTGCCGGAAGAACAGATAATGCAGCTATTTCTCAGTCTTGCTTCCACTGATAATATAATTAAAATACAGTTTTTAGCTTTCATTTCTACATAATAGATACAAGTCAGATATTTAAACATGTAAAAACAAAGAAATGACCTATAAATACAGGTGAACACTGCTATAATACAAAACAAATCAGGCTTACATTCAGAAGAGTGCTATTATTATTTGATTTGTCTTTTTTTAATGTGAGTTTTAAAAGTTATAGAACTGTAATCAAAGTCACTATCTGTGGAATTACATTAATTATTGCTGTTTTTAGTGACATCAGTTTGACAGTACCGCTTATACACTGATAAAAAACATTTATTCAACATTTTTGTTGTAAAGATACATATGATACATTATGAAGATATCTGTCAATTAACAAACAAATCCATGTAAAATGACACAACACATTTTAAACTTCACAGCCTATTTTTCTAATTTGAAAAAATAAAATGGAAAAAACCCTGAAACTTGCTGATTTTTTTTTTTACAATGTGGAGTGTCCAAAAACATTTTGTTCATGTTTCTACATTTCTCTTTCTTTTGAATCGATCAATCGATCGTTTTTTTGTTTTAATTTGATAAAATTTGTTTAAAAAGGGAAAGAAAAAAAATTATGACTCAGAGTGCACCATTCTGATCATTTTTGGCCAGTTAGAACTCATTTCCAACTGTTCAGATGCTTGATAAATACAGACTAAGAACCAGAGGCAATATTTGGGCCTGAATTATTATATTCTAAACTCCAAATAGGCTGTTATTCGAAATCCATGTATACATGCAGCTTTCATCTCTTGCGACAGGCTCAGTCAGAGGTGATGTCATCTTGGCGCGACCCACGAGGCCGAGGGCACTCCAATCCTGGCCCGCGCTGTCCGTGGTGGTGCGGGGGGACTGGATGTGTTGCTGGAGGTGTGAGGTGCATGTCAGTGGGTGTCACCACCAATATCTCCCTCACCTTTAATCAGCCACATTAGTTGTAAGTGTGAGTTGATATGCACGCTGATGCCTCCGCAGGACAGGGAACAAACACAGAAAATAATAGGCTACAGTGGAGCTTCTCGAGTAAGCCATCATTGCTGATGCACAGCCGGTATTCAGGTTGGCAATTTAGCCCCGCATGTTTGAAATTGAAACATTTAATCAGAGAAAAGTAATGTCATCAAATGTCATTTGTGTCATGGCAACCGGCAGGGAGATAAAATGTCATCTTGTCTGAGAATGAATATTTCTGCAGGGTCGGAGAACCCATTTATTAAAATCATGGTGCCGCTTGCCCCTCTGTGCTAAAGAGACAGTATTCCCTGTCATGTTTCACAGTGACCCTCCAGCTTGACATTTTGATTTCCCTCACTTTGTCCTTTCCAGTTGTCTCTTAGAGTGGCATGCCTGTGTGTGAGCGTATGTGTGCTTAAGTGTGCCATATACTAAAAGGCAACACAGTGAATGTCAGGACGCCAGCACGGCCAGCAGTGACATGGGGAAATGGCAGATACGCCAGGCACCCCCACTTTACTTTCATGATCTGTTTTCTCGCTAAGATTTTGAGACTTGGGGGAAAATATTGACTGCAAAATGCTGTTTTCAAAGCATGTTTCTCCATGTCAACAGGCATTTGAGCGATCCATCATTTGCTGACAACAGCTGTAGGAAGAATGCTGTTGTGATATTATGCAAATGTATTCAGTAGAATATCACAAACAGTCATGAATTGTGGTGCGTTGCAGAATGTGAATTTTATGTGCTGTGACACTGTGCTGAATAACTAATGACGTGGGACTGACCCGTTTGCTTGAATGGCTGCCACAGAAAACTGCACTCCGAGCTGCAGAATGAGAGGAGTGAGCGGCGGCAGACTTCACCACTTTATTTGATCAAATCCGTAAGTTACTGTCAAAGCAAACTCATTCATTATGACAGGGAGGACGAGGAGGCTTTCAGACCAGGTCTGACTGATATGGGCTTTGTGTAGGGCTGACACAGACACCTATTTTTTAAGAGCTGAAGTAATTTTTGCTGACACCACTGTCTTAAAATTAGATTATTAATTAGATTTTTTAGATGAGAAAATATGTAAAGCAACACAACTATTGAAAGAGGCAACACAACCTTCTTCTTACGATAGAAAAGTTTAATTAATGAGGAATAAAATGCACCTATACTTAACTGAGTACACTCAGGGGTTTTTTGCTGCTATGGCCTGTCCTAATCTGGTATGACCACTAGCTCAGGGGTTCCAAGACTTTTTTCATGTCAAGGACCCCCACGGAACCCCAATTTGACACTTTTGAGGCCCTTCAACTCTTTCATTCCACCATTGAGCACTGATGTTGACTCTGGTTTGATCTCTTGCTTTATCCAACCTTTATGTTCGGAGCCTTTTCTACTTTCTTTTCTTGATTTCTCTAGCAGTGCAAGCTGTTGTAGGTGTAGGTAGAACTGGAATTTGGCTGTTATGCAATAGCTTTAGCAATACATGCCTAACCTTGTGGAAGACTCCTGGTCATACGCAATGAGTGCACAGGAAGACACGGCAGGTAGGCAGGTACCAACATACCAAAATTGGTCTGGCCCAGTGACGGCCCACACCACTTACACTCTACTCAGATACAGCAATGAATTACGATCCATATGTGGGCCAGATCTAGTAGCCACTATAGCCATATCTCAGTCCGCTGCATGATCATAGCTGGCTCTATTCTGGCCCTGTGTTTGACCAGACCCATATGCAGATGTCAGCTTTAACTAAACCTTAACCAAGCCACTTCATTAATACAAAAAACATATTCATCCATATTGGGCCCAGAAAAATACCTCAAGAACAACAGTATTATTAACAAACATTTATATATTTTTAACATCACGCCATTTGCAAAACTAATTAAACTAATATAATTTGTCAGACAATCTCTCTTCCTCTCCTGTCCCTTTCCTTACTCCCCATTTCTAATCTCCTTCCTCCACCCCCTCTCCTGTCAGCACTGTAGTAATATGTAGACATATCGTTAAATGAGTAAATTAAGCCAGTAAACTCTAGGCATGAACACTGAAGACTTAGAAACCACTGCCGAAAAAGACTTTTGCTGTCCCATAATAGTGCCATCTATGGTCATACCTTTCTACCAGTGCAAACCTAGTGCTGGTTCTGCGCTGGTGTTAGCGCCCACAAGGGATCTCCAGCCCCTATTTTAAGTGGTTCTTGGTTCTACAGCAAAGTGTTGATGCCGCACTGGATGTGTATGGGCCAGACCATTTTTGCTATGTGGGTGGTTAGGAGGGTAGGTAGACAGGCAGGTAGGCCAGTTTTGATTATTTCTTTCTGGTTAAACAAAATGATTTGCTGCAA